TCTATGTACCCTGTCTTGTGAGTAATAATAGGTGTTTTCCTAATATCTTTTTATATCCTTTCAAATATGCGGTCTGCAGGCAAGAAACTATGCCCACGTACCGGGTTAATTATTGTGATTTCTGCAATGAAGTAATTGTTATTCGCTAACCAGTAAATCAGCAAATGTGGGTGTGGCTCTTTTTATTTTGTCCGCCACATCCATCACAATACAATTTCAGTGGCGTGACATTTATAGGAATAGGTAAATTTGTTAAATATTTCAGCAATGCTGATCCAATTTCCAGGGACCCACGAGAAGCCTGCGTTTCATCCCATACAAAAAAGCCAGGTTTCTTTTTGTCTACATCAGTGATACAAAAATTTTAAAAACTGATTTGCCTACTGTAAAATACATTTTGTATAGGTATTCTTGGTAATGGTTATACCTTCCGAAAATCAAACCACAATATTCAAACACTGCATTCATCAATAGCTGGGGATTTGAACCCAATATTGAATTCTTTACAAAATAATTTTGGAACATGGTGCGGGAAACCTTTAGATTTGTAGGCACAGACAAGTTATAGATTTTGAAATTCTTTTGCTTTTCTGTCAGTTATAGTGACTTTCCCGAGCAGGTAACTTTTTCAAGAATTCTCGTAACTTATCTTTTTTTTCTCTTGACTTGACCGATTCCTGTCCCCACCTCCTTTTTCTGTGGATGTTTCCTCTTGACTCAGCATAACATTTAAGTTTCTTAGCCTTTTTTCTCCAACGGAAAAAGTATGTTTATATGAATTCTTTTTTGCTTTTTTTATTTAAAATAGTGTCACTGTCGCTCTTAAACTTGACTTTCCTCGATTTTGTGGCCGGTGCTTAGAGTCCAGAGAGATATATATCTTGATCAATGTTCCCACGCAGTTTAAAAAACAACTTTCTGTTTCGCAAGATGTAATGTCAACTTTTTACATTTGAAAGCGTTTTGCTATTTGTGATCACATGGGCATGTACAATTCATGCATGCACAAAGGATCTTCATCTGCGTAAGTATTGAAAAGATACATAGAAAAAGTACATTAAACAGTATTTTAACCATTATATTAGAATAGGATTTTGAATCAAGTACATTAGGATTTCACTTACGTTTTACTATATTCCGAACGATCTTTTTGGTTTTTTTCCTTGACCCAGCATTCAAGGTCCTGACTTAACCTTGCTCATCCATTTTCAATATGATTTTTAATAAAAATTAACTTCCAAAATCCGAAATCTCACAAATCTCAAAAACTTGCATCGAAAATTTTAACGTTAGCGACAGTGTCATCGGTTAATATCATTTTCTGGAGGGAGACATTTTTTTATATACCAGGGTTGCTATTGACAATGATATTGAAATGTACAGCCTTCATCGTTTGACTCGATACCATTCTTTAATCGAATTAACTGATTTTTGTAAAGTTGTCTAGTATGGAAAAAAAACAATTGGGCAGAATAACAAATGAAATATGCTTTTTGTAGAAGAAATATACCTATTCTATTTTAATTAATCTAAGGCAATATTTCAATGCGTAATGATGCAAAAATAATTCCGTTTTGAATGGAATCCATTTATTTTTTGGATTTTATTTCTATGAGAAATGCGCTCCTTTTGAACAGATGCTTGTTACGAGTACAAGACTCGTCTACGTCACTCATACGTCACGCGTACATTATGTGTTTCCCAAGTGCAGGTGGCTCGATTGAGCAATCGTGTTGAAAAGTGCTTATTAGACAGATTTAGTTAATGTAAAACCTTCGGACAGTTTTGGGAGTTGCTTGAGCTTCAATCGTGGAAGCATCTTGACGTATAGTTTGTAAGACCGGATCATCGGGATCAATTAGTATAAGTAATTTTGTAAAACATTTAAATAAATAAAGTTATAATTTAAAGTTTAGTTTTTTAAAACCCTACCTGACGGCTCAATTCCGTAATTGGCGCAGTCGGTAGGATAGTCGAGTCAGTGCGAGCATCATACTTCGATCAGCCTGATAGTCGTGTCGTCGGCGTGTCGACTATCTCTACGAATCTACGCGAAGCAGTCGTCAGACGGGAAAGAAGAATCAACTTCGAAAACCGGCGCTAATCCAAAAATCGATGGCCCATCACCACACTAAGCTAAGCATCCTGCTCCTGTGAGTTTTATTATATAAGTTACGTATTCCTATTGGTTGCCAGCGGCCCCTTTCCTGTCTCCCGTAGGACGTAATAAGTTAATTAAATAAGTTTGTTTTAATAGTTAGAAAGATTTCTAGATATTCCTATTGGTTGACAGCGGCCCCTTTCCTGTCTCCCGTAGGACGTAATAAGTAAATTAATTTTTTATAGTTAGAAAGATTGCTAGTTATTCCTATTGACTGACAGCGGCCCCTTTCCTGTCTCCCGTAGGACTTAATAAGTAAATTAATTAAGTTTTCTTTTAATAGTTTAGAAAGTTTTCAAGATTTTTTTTCCAAAGAAAAGTAGAGATATAGGATCGAATCTGCGGCGCAGTATTCGTCCTAATTCTAGAGAATTAAGGTTTCATCGCGAAATCGAGTTATCTACATAAGAAAGCATAGAAGAAGAAATGGCGTCCAAACAACAATCTGTAGCTTATTCAAACGATATGACAGAAAGGATTTCGAAATCTTTAAGGCTAGTTCCTGAGTTTGATGGAAATTCGAACATTTTAATTAGATTCTTGAACATTTGCGACCAACTGATTTTAACATATGTTAATCCAGCTCCGGGAAATGAACTAAATAATTACGCTTTAATTAATGCAATTTTAAATAAAATAACCGGGCCTGCTGCTAAAACATTAGCAACAAATGGCATCCCCCAGGACTGGAATGGCATAAGAAATGCGCTAATTAACAGCTTTTCGGATCACAGAGACGAATCCGCCCTATACACCGATTTATCTATGTTAACTCAAGGTTCCGATACACCGCAAATATTTTACGAGCGAGTTCAAAATTTACTTAGTATAATTATGACTTATGTAGAATTATACGAACAGATTAAAACAACAGTTGAGGCTAAACGTGAACTTTACAAAAAAATTAGCTCCTCAAACATATACCAGAGGTCTAGCCGAGCCTTTAGGCTCACGTGTCAGGTGCATGCGCCCCGACTCGCTAGAAAAGACCTTGGATTTCGCCCAGGAAGAATTAAACGTCTTATACTTACAATCGAAAGCCAGTAACCCGCTAATTTCTAAGAAATCGATTAACAATGCCCCGTTTAATTACTCACCTTTTAATTCGCATGACTCACTTATGCCTTCGAGACAATTCAATTCTGGAATGCTTACACATCAATTTAAACCTTTTAAATACCATTTCATGCAACAAGCCACTTTCCCTAATAATTTGTACCGAAAAATATAAGACCTTTCGGATAGTTTTAATAAGCATATTAGTTTATATAAAGAAATGACCATCCAACAAACTTAAATTTTAAATAATATCTCTTCAAATCAAAGAAAATTAGAAAAAACAATAATTTCAATAAGTAATGCATCTGTAACTGAAAAAGAACAGATGTATCAATTTACACAGATTTCCCAATTATTTAGCATACTTACGGAAAATATTCTGGAACTCTCATCTGAAATAAGTAGATTAGGTAATATTTTAGCTTTTAGTCGCACAAACGTAATGCACCATTCTATACTATATATAAGTGATTTACAAAATATGTTAACACAGCTTAAAAATCTATATAATCCCAATGCGTTACTAAACTCAGATGTTAGGTTTTATTACGATCTAATTACCTTAGGATCATATTTTATTGATAAGAAAATCGTAATTGTCTTGAAGTTTCCTATAATGTCTCTAGAAACATATGACCTTTATAGACTCTGTCCTGTTCCTAATAAAAACTCAGAAATTATCCTTCCACCATTCCCATACATGGCATCCAATTCCCAGGAATTTGCGTACATGGAGGCTGAATGCCCGAAGATCGACACCTGTTACATATGCAAGCAGCAGTTTAACCATCAAACCCGAACACGCAGTGACTGCGTCTTCAATCTCATTTATCATCAGAATACAGGACAGTGCCATCCTACATCCATATCACTCCTGAAGGAAGCACTACTAGAACTGGAAAGTCAACATTATATTTTATCATTACCTAACAAAATCAAAGTAAAAATATCATGCGGACAAGAAAAATATCATCTGTTAAAAGGAAGCTACTTCGCAACGATTCCCCGAAATTGCAGCATTCACACACCAGAATTCACAATTGTTAATACTGATGACAAATTTCTTGGGCAACCTGTTGAAATAATGACATTCCCACATTCGACTCCGATGTCAGCAAATTCGAAGAAAAATTTACCACATTATAATTTCACAACAATTGATTTGAACAAATTACACGATATTCAACATCGATTACTTATGGACCCACCTGTTAGAATTAACACCGTGGATTTATCCAGCTTATATCACACCACGATACCTATATACGTATCATACTGTTAAGTGCACTTGCACTCATTAGTGTGGCTTACTACCTGAGACGGCGTAAGAACCAACAGCGAGTTAAATCTACACAGCCTCAAGAGATGGAAATGGCATCAGCGGGTTCTATACCATCCACCGAAGAAAGAAAAGCCGCAACATTTGCTTTCAATCTTCGCAAATAGTTGCTCATCTAGGAGGGAAGGTGTTACGAGTACAAGACTCGTCTACGTCACTCATACGTCACGCGTACATTATGTGTTTCCCAAGTGCAGGTGGCTCGATTGAGCAATCGTGTTGAAAAGTGCTTATTAGACAGATTTAGTTAATGTAAAACCTTCGGACAGTTTTGGGAGTTGCTTGAGCTTCAATCGTGGAAGCATCTTGACGTATAGTTTGTAAGACCGGATCATCGGGATCAATTAGTATAAGTAATTTTGTAAAACATTTAAATAAATAAAGTTATAATTTAAAGTTTAGTTTTTAAAAACCCTACCTGACGGCTCATTCCGTAATTTGCTCCTCTTTACAAAAACACAAACCAAACTAAATAACAAAATACCGTAATTAACATAATGTGACACATTATTGTCCTCGTAATAGTTATAGATAAGCTTATATTGTAAACATAATGGGTAAGCTTATTGACAGAAGGACAAATCAATAGTACAGTGATCTAATTTTTGGTTTGGGTGTGGCAAGAGAAGAGATATATCACTAGGCCGGCCAAATAAGAGGCTATGAATGCCAGGCCGACGAATAAAATTTACATTATCTGCAAGTCAGCTGTATATTTCTTGCAATAAATACTCCATTTTCGATTTTGACGATTGTATAAAAAGAATCGACAGAGACTCCATCTCATCATTCGATTATATTGAGAAAAGAATGAAGTCCACTGTGGTGAGTAGATATAATAAAATATTTTCAGACAGCAACCAGTTCATAAATTAGTTTTAGTAAGTACGTCTCGTGATCGAGGAATCTGCAAGAGTCCAAATCTCAAGAATTATGTAAAAACTCGCAAAAGTGTTATGTACAAAATACAAGGCCCTTTTTTATCTGTGTGTTAAAAATGATGTTACTTACTATTTTGTGCAGTTGGCTGTTCTGGTGCTAGCCACCCTTAGCTCTAGCTACGGTGAAGACGATGGCCAGTACCGTCCAGAGCTGTACGGTGGAGACGATGGAAAATATCGTCCCAGTAAGGAGGGACTGTATTACGACCCTTATTATAGGACGTACAAGAGCCTGCTCATAAGAAATGGAAAATATGATCCGATCTACACCGCATACCAACCAGTTTACGTGAAGGCATATAATCCTTATCAGCAACTGTTGACACCTTTCGTAAAATATGGAGACCAAAACAGGTACATAATTTAATTTGTTTTCACTGATTTTGAATAATTGACACCAAATGTAACACAGTCAATAATAAATGTAATTTTGTAAATATATAAGATACAACTTTAATTCCTCATCAGTTGCATAAACTGCAATCAGTCAATTTATTCACAGTCGCTGGTGTTTGTATTTTATGTCTTTTTTTGGAATCAGTAGTCATTTGACCTGTAACTTTTTAATTTGTCACATAATTTTTTCCACAAAAAAAATTACAGATGGTTCAAAAGGTAAACATTTCTAAAGCATCATTAAAGATAATTTTAAATGCACATAATTTATTTTAATACTAAAAACTTATTGTTGCCAGTATGATTTCCACGTGTTTCAACAAACTCACATTTTAGTATTGTTTAGGCTCACAGAAAATAGACCACTGTAGTAATTGTTTTCCGGAAGCAATTGACAAAAGTCTTAAAAAATTTATCATAAGTAAAAGCATATTAAGCCCCTTTAAAAAATTCGTCAACCCCGCATGGATATAATAAATATGGCTCTAATATTAACATGTTCAATTCTCTTTCAGTTTGGATCAATATCATCTCACATCGCCTGTTTCACCGGTAACATACCGTCCTCCAGTCGTGCCTGTAGTATCAGTGAACCCGATTGTGTACTCATCGACTCCGCAACCTGTCGTATTTGCATCCACCCGTAAGCCTGTGATTGCATCACCAGTTGAACCTTTCGCCTTCGCATCAGCTCCTAAGCCAGTGTTTAGCTCGTCTATTAAGCCTATCATATATTCTTCAACAGTCAAACCTCTTATCCATCCTGCGCCTGGAAAATCTATTTATTCATATTCCCCCATTTATGCGAAAAATTTTAAGGATTACGAGGCAAATGCTAGGATAATCAAACAGGAGAACGACATTGATCCAAATGGATATCATTACGCTTACGAAACCGAAAATGGAATTAATGCTGAGGAATCTGGTGTGGTTAGCTCTTCTGCAAGCGGCACTAAGCCACGAGGATTTTTCGAGTATATTGGTGATGATGGTTTGAAGTACAGAGTTGATTATACTGCTGATGAAAATGGATTTCACCCTAGTGGGACCCATTTGCCTCAGTGAAGGCAGCTTCACGATGACTACGTTTGCACTGACGACGATATTAATTTATGTTTAATGAAATATTGAAAGCTTTAACATTTAATAAAAGAAGGCTATTGAGTATAATTGACAAAAAAAACAAAATAAAAATTACTTTTTACTTTAATGTTCCCCCTTACTTGGAAAAAAATGCTTACAAAAATGCGGTAAATTATAGGGTAATACCACAATAATTTAAAATTATCTTCTTGCAAATCTTTTTTATTGATTTAGTTACTCTTTTTACCAAATTTTGGGTTTTACGATCGTTTACCTGGAGTAAATTCTGATTTAACGAGAATCGGCACCGCTGGGCAAAGGGTTACAAAAATAAAAACTTTTAAAGAAATGAAAATAAACCACGCCGATATAACTAAAAAGCTAAAAATAGTAAACCTTTTTAGAGTTCCGTAGTCCTGACAAGGAACCCTTATAGTTTCGTCATGTCCGTCTGTCCGTCCCCGGTATTGCTTGGAGACTATTAGCACCAGAGATTTGTAATTTTGTGGAGATATGTACATCAATCACGCAGACAAAATATTATTTTTCCGGGTTTCTAGGGTTCCTAAGATTATTTTTCGATTTAGGGATCCGTTTGCGAAGCATTGAGCTTTAAATTGCTAATTTTTGATGGAGTGGGTCCCCTCCCCCCCTCTGAAAGCTAAACTTTTGGCTTGAAAAACCTGAAATATCATGAGAATAGTGCTTTTCATGAACTTTTAAGAAAAAATATAACGGTTAAGATAGATTTGTTAGTTTAAGATCAATAGTAGTTCAACGTGGGTTAAAGAAAATTTCTTACCTATTGAAAATTCTTTAGAAAGAAACATAAATAGTGTCGTAGTTGAAGTTATTTTAGGGTAAAACCTAGCATTGGCAACAGAATCTAAAAAAAAACTTTTTAAAAACCACAATAAAATATCATTAGTTCTTAAACGCTACCGCGAGTACCAACGGCAACCATTTTGAGTCGCGGTAACGATACGTTTTTATAAAAAGTATATAAGCACATGAAAAGATCGGCGGTTATACCGCATCATGTCCTTCTCTGGGGATGTTCGCTTTAGATGAAGCTTTTAGTCAGAGTCTGACATAACCTTGTAGCCTGCTGTAGGGTATCCATGAGGATTTCACACCCGCTCCCCCGCCTGGTAGGAAACAAAAAAAATCGGTGGTTATCATGCGTGTAAAAAAATAGATCACTTTCAAAATAAAAAGAAAAATCAAGAAGTTTATTACGATACCACAATGGTTGTACACCAATCCAGTGTGGGTTCCTACTATTAAGTGTTTAACACCTGTACCAGAAGGAATCACTCTTCTAGCATATTGAATTGCATGTGGATTAGGCATATTGGGGATACCACATTGAAAAAAACGCGCCACTTATTCTAACTCAAGATGGTGTGGAAATGAGTTTTTGGTCAAAGCGCTCGTTGGAGTACACTTTGCGGCGCTCGTACACCAAAACTATTTACCTTATGAAAAAAAAAGATAGATATATAAATTGTAGGCCATTGTCTCTAGTTTCATTTTGTATCAACTGTTTTTATCGTAAAATAAGTTGGAAAGGAGATATTGTTAAAGAACTGCTTTAAGGCGCCATTTTTGCAATATGGCGGCGCGAGGTGGCAACGTCGAAATTGGGTAAGATATATATAAAATTACCAATTTTTGAAACCCCCGGAAAATTCTCCAGGTAAAATTTCTAAATGACTGTACTATAAAGATAAAAAACTTTATTATTTTTTGCTTTTTAGTTTTTTCGGCGGGTAAATATTTTTGTTCAATCATTTTATTTAAAAAAAATTGTGTATATATTTTTTGTTATATACAACTCAGCATCAAAATCTGTGAGTAAACATTTCCTTTCCCACCCTTGGAAATTTATCTGGGACCAATGTCGAAGGATACACTATCAAATTAAAAATAAACATAAAAATCGGAGTACTTTGTAAACATCATCATCTATGACGGAGGTTTAAGAGGCTGAGTGGTATTTATGATGGGTTTCAGGGTGTTGCTACTCGAGAGATGCCTCGGGCTGGGATGCCGGTGGGGCAAATGTTAGTATGATGAATACGCGCATTTGTACCTAAGGCATAGTTGTTTATATATATTTTTGGTTAAAACAACATGTATCAGTTTAAAATATATTCTATCCCTTACCCTAGTATCCCATAACGTAAGTCTTTTAGTGCTTACTTTGGGGCTAGGCTACTTGATGTGAATGTATATATATAATATATATTTAAGTAAATATATGCTTAATACGTTTTTCGATTTCTTAAACCTCGTAATGATAATGAAAGTAACTACTTATTTAGCGGTACGCATTCTAACAGTTAATAAATATTACATGCACTTAGCTACAGCATTTATATATACCTGGGGCATAACTACTGAAAATTTCTGGATCTGGGCAATATCACTAAAATAACGAAAAATCAATCAGGTATCGTTAGAACATTTTACTTTTTAATTTGCAAGACTTTCATCTGTTTTTGCTGTAGCGTCCTATAGAAAATTGTATGTCGCTATCAAAATGAATTAAACTTGTAAAACAAAAATGTCGTTCAATGATTATTTTTGATGTGCCAGGGATTTCAATTGGCATTTGGTGATAGCAAATGCTAATTGAAGCACCTTGTCGCCGCTCAGTGTGGTTTGAAGAATTTAAATGAGGACGTAATCATCTCCATGATTAGGTTCGCTAAGGTCGGCTGACAACAACAGTTACAGGATCTTATTTTGACACTGTTCTATAACTTGTACAAAAGACAAATAAAAAAGCTTCTCTAAATATTCATGTTTTGTTAGGCAGTGGAATGAGGTTAGTCCAAAACTGGAAAAATAAACCATACTATTTTAAAGTTCGAAAGCTTTGAGCTCGGGGGATACCGCATGACTCAGCGGAGGCCAGTCATTTGCTGTCTAGGATAATATGATAGGAGACAATACTTTGGTGTACTGCTTGAACTCGATAGCAAAATCCAGTCAGCAGACTAGAATACTAGATCTTTCCTTTTGAAGATTTGCCGACAAAAGTTAAGGGAAGTCGAAGCATTGGTAAAAAATGATTGCTTCATCTTTGGGAAATCGTGGTATTAAACAACAATATTACTTGAAAATCAGTGACAGGGACAGTGATTGCAAATTGGCACGTCAGTATTTGCTTACCTAGTCTTAAAAAATGTTCGCAAAAAACTTCCTCAAATCAATGCCCGCCTTTACTACGTGGATAATAATAATAAAGCTTTTATTTTTCCTTATTTTGTCGCTTAAAATATTTATAGATTTTTATTATTTGTTGGTTAGTACTTTTAGTATTTATCTTAATGATAAAAGTTAATAGTGTTAGTGGTAAAGGCCGCCTCTGGCGGTAAAAGCCTTCTCCGTATTCAACTGTCAATCGCCTGAGCAGTTGTCGCAACTGGGCGGTCGGGCGGTCCGTCTATGTGTGTACATGAGACTGCAATTGCGGCTTGAAGTACTACATCCCGACTGCTATAACCTATAGCTGGCAACCCCGATTTTGCACGGTCGAAATTTATATGTCGCAATATCCTGTACATCACTCAGGAATAATGTAGCCTTTAATGGTGAAATATTTTTATCGGTCTATTATTTTAAAATGTTTTAGTTATAAACATACAAAAACACAAATCTTGCCGCTTTATACTATCATTAGTATAGATTTGCTCAATCGACGTAAAATTATCATAAAATATTGTAATAATATTGTAATTTTGCGTTATACGTACCTAAATGCAGATTTTTTTTCTTTATCTCCGCTTGGTATATAAACGAGATTTGACTGAATGTAGCAGCCATAAAAGAGCAACAGGGTGTTACACTCGCATCAATCATCTGCAAAATATTATTGTCCCGTCAATTAAGAAAACAAAAATGAAATTCTTGGTGAGTTATCTAACATTTTGTTTTAAATAATTAAATGACAGGAGAATTTATTCTGCGATTGTGAAAGCTATGCATCTTTCTCAATGGCTGGCAAGCGGATGGGTATCCCCAATATGTATCATCTCATGCTGCTTTTTGCTTCATTAAACACGCATAACCGTTGCTTCTGGCATCTCTGTCCTTCAGAAGACACGTTAATCTTTTGATACCGGTACCAACTGTACCCTTAGCACGAACCAATATCGAATTCGAATAGTACTAGTAGTAGAAACTTGAACAGTAGCGTTCCAAAGTACGTAACGAGAACTAAAAATCAGTATACATTTGACAATGACATTTCGGACTCGCAGACGATACGAATTCGATATTGGTTCGTGCTAAGGGGTCTTCAGTTTTTATTTTTTATTTTAAATGGATGGCAGCCAAGTATATGGCCCGGCTGATGGTATGCGGCCATCACAGCCTATAGACGCTTGCAAAGCAAATATATCACTCGCGCTGTTGCCTACCCTGACCCAATCCCCTACTCCTTCGATCCCTGGAACCTTACTCACTGATAGAAACACAACAACACCAAAAGGTAGTATTCTGTGTGTTGGAGGTTACTACACCAGACGGGCGCTCCAATTTCAGCGAAAAATCCGTTGTGACATATCTGTCTTTATCACCCACCCATTCATATTTAGTTTACGTGAAGGGTTATGGTCCATTCTCCTAATTCTATCCTTAAAGAAGACCTGTGCACATACAAAGGGCACAATGGTTGATAATCATGAATTTAGATTACTATATTTGTACGAATATTGTTATGAAAACATATGTTTATAAGGTGTTATTTTTTTAAATAAATCAATTATCATCATCAACCTATTAATTTCCCTACTGCTGGGGCACAGGTGTTCTCTTTGGGTGGAATAGGGAGATTGAAACCACCGGATTGGTATAACAATTGTTGCTGGTAAGTAATAACAATTATTACTTACCAGCTGTTCCTCTAAAAACATTATGCCTTAGTTTATTAAAAACAGGATATTTTTATGTTTGTATGTAAAGAGTAATCTACTGAAAACTGATGAAAACACCACTGTAAAAATGCTACATTATTTCTGAGTGACACAGTATACTATATTTTAAATTTGATCCTTTTAAATCCAAAAAGGGAAGCTGCAGTAGAGCATTTTATCTCCTAATAGTTGATTGCACTAACCAGTTTGGGCTAGCTTTGCCATTACTGATGATGTAATCTGCTTAAATTAATAGATTTTTGTATGTTATATAATTATTTTCAGGTTGTATTAAGTGCCGTAGTTGCTGTGAGTTTTGGACTCAGCAGTGACCAGGATGCCGTACCAGCTTTTAGAGCTGATGTAAGTGATGATGGCAGCTACAGATACAAGTAAGGTTTTATTCAAAAATATATAGCGATTCAAATATTGTGGCGGATGTGATATTAGCCGCCAGGGCAACTAAGCGCAGGTTTTATTTCAGTGTTAAACCGTGCGTACCTGTATCCCCTATATTTCGTTTAATGCTCCTTGACTTGTATTTCACAGCTATCATTAAGTTTGAATTGCACTCAATACAACTAAGTATGTAAATTTATTCCTATAATTTTCTATAGCCAAAGTTCTCACGCTCACATTATTCATATTCCCCTTTTTTGACATGCCTATCTAATCACTGAGAGGTTCGTTTATGATTTCTCTTTTAATTCAATATTTTTTTTTGTCAAGAGACCCAAAAGAATATTTTATTGTCGCTCTATACTGTAACGATGAGGCATCGTTGACCTTTAATAACAATAAATCTAGAAAAATATGTAACGATTTGACAACATCTCAAGGTTTTTTGTTTGACGATTTACATAATGAAATGTTTTTATTTATTATACGACCTTGTCAAAAAACGCCGTGAAGAGAATTCGATCTTGTTTTATAGGATTTAAGAATCAAGATTTTTTCACTAGTATTTATTCTTTATTGAATCCTCCGATATCTCGTTTGCTGTTAATTTATGGTTTTTTAGGGTTCCGTAGTCCTGACAAGGATCCCTTATCATGTCCGTCTGTCTGCCCGTCCCGGGTCTGCTTGGAGACTGTTAGCACCATACAGCTGTAATTTTGTGGTAATAGGTATATAAATATAAATCATCAATCAAAATCGTCTACCCTATCGTGTGGGGTATCGTTAAAAAGGTTCTTTAAAATTACTCAGGGGTTTCTGATACTTTTTTATCTAATACGAATCAGAGATCCGTTTGCGAAATATTGAACTATAAAATGCAATTTTTTATTACCCCCCCCCCCCCATCTAAAAAGCTATCTAAAAGTTTTACCCCCCCCCCCCCCCCCGGGTAAATCCTGGAAAAATTCATGATAATAGTGCTTTTCATGAACTTTGAAGGAAAATTATAATAGTTAAGATAGATTTGTTAGTTTAGGAGTAATAGTCGGTCAACTTCGGTTAAAGAAAGAAATTTTCTTTTCTATTGAAAATTACTTAGTTAGACGGAAACATTAAAAGTGAGGTAGATGAAGTTATTTAAGTACACAATAAAATATCATTAGTTCCACAAAGCTACCACGAGTACCAACGGCAACGGTTTCTGAATCGTGCTATCTTTGCGTTTTTATAAAGTGTATTTATATAAACACTTGAAAAGATTGGCGGTTATCATTCGTATCAAAAAAAAAATTAAACATCGAAGTAATTAGGCATTTTAGTTGAGTTGAGATACATAGTTTGATATTAATTGTTTTTTTTTCATTTCCGACACAGAAAATAAAGATTACTGCACAAATATATAGTGGTAACGACAGGAAACTACGGAACCCTACACTGCGCATGGTACGACACGCACTTGGCCGGTTTTATATGTAAATTTTTAGCCAAGTTGATAAATAAGTGTTTGGCTAACCTTTTGTGAACACTAGTGATTCTAGAGTATTGAATCCCGCGTTGTATTCCTTTTGTAGGTAACTACAATCAATGATTGATTCTCGATTGTATTTTGTTCTAGTTTAGAGATTACAAATGGCATTGCGGTGGAAGAGGAGGGTTCACCTCGTAACTTGGGTGGCAACCCGCCAGTGGTACCCATAGTAGTCAAAGGAGCTTATTCTTTCACCGCACCTAACGGAGAACCTGTCGCCATCTCCTAT